CCAGAGCATGGTCTATTTATTACCACACAGCTCGACGCAACTGAATAAAAAGAAATTGAAAAATATTTGTTTGGGATAACCGTTTCTAAATTAGGCACTGGTTTTAGAGAATAACTAGGCAAACCAGTGGATTCTTCAGACAGAAAATATCTCCTTCCTTCGAGGGTTTGAACCCTGTAGTGGCTCTTGGAAACGAGACGTAATCCTGTTATTGTATTCATTACCGGTACAAACAGTCTGTCACGCTAGGTTGCAGGGTTTTGGTGTTAAATTGCGTAATATTAAGTTTTCGGCTAAAGCTGGCAACGTAGTAGTAAGTCAATTTTTTGGGGGCTTCTGAAACAGTTCTTAAAGCCACAATAATTACATACGATAACGGCAGACAAACCAACGTTGGGGGACCATGTATTATCACAGCTCAACAACTAACCGGATACTAGCAGGCCTAGCAACGTGCGTCGTTATTCAGTCATTCTTGTGAAGGTTGTTGGAGATGAAACCCGTTGTACTTGAGAGCGGAGCCGTCGTCTTCAGCAAAGTAGCTTCGCTACCTGCAAGCGAAAAATCGTTGTTCTTTGGCTTCCACAAGTATTTAATGGGCTCGACCGTTGTCTATATGCCCCGGTACTTGATTTCGAAATCTTGGGACCAGTGTTGAAATGTCGCCGTGACCTTCCACGGACGCCATCGATACAAGGACGACTGCTACGGCGGTGATGAATGCAAGAACGGTCATTGTTCGGCTTTTCGGCTAAACAGGAAGTGGTAGATCACAAACGTCAAATGATGCTTTGAAGCTCGAAGCGAGCGCTTGAACCTCATCGTGTCCCATCCCCACTCTTCAATCACGCAGGTTTTCGATACCTACGTGTACAGTTTGAATATTATCCTACTTGAGAGGGCCCTCAGGTAGTGCTTTGTACATGTCGGATCATTTTAACTAACAATAAATATGTACAATGACAATTGCTTAATAATATAGCCATCTGCTCTCCCACATTATTCGAGCTGAGAATTATTATATTGACCTGAGTCAGGTCAGTATTGAAATCCCGCCAAGCATGTAAAGGAATCACACATTTGTCTGTTCACAATTTGACACCCCTCATTGGCATATAGAAAGTAAAAATACTCA